CGCGTGGTGAGAAAACAACCTTGTACGCGCCTTCTGGGCGTGCTGCATTCCCGCCCGTTTACCTGAGGGAGAAGGTCGTGAACAAAGGGTGTAATAGGGATCTGACTCTCTGGCGGATCTAAGAGGTCGTCTGGAAGCCCGTCCACGTTCCACGACAAGTCGACAGACCGCTCTAGGAGGGTTTGGACGGCAGTCGGATCCTCACTGCAGTCAGGGGTCTTGTCTCCAAAAGGTTTGGGATCCTGATTAATCTGTTGATACAGGGGACATCGAACAATACGACAGCAGCAGACGACGCGATCGTTTGAGCTTCGAACAGCACCGGGTTCACCCGCTGCAAAGCACGCACCAGGCACGCCTTCGTACTGCACGCGTTTGCAAACCCAACATGCCTGACCGAGAGTCTCACCTCAGCTAGCCGCTCCATCATCATATCCAACCTGCGGTGCGTCATGTAGCCGGTGGCAATCTGCGTCAACACCAGGTCGGGACCCTCTAGTGCCATTCCTGTCAAGGCCAGGCACAAGGCGAGGGGCTGGTTTCCACCAAGAAGCCGGGGGAGGGTGTACGATAGTCCCCCAGCGAGGCCAAGGCCAAGCGTTGCTTCCGGCACGTGGAAGGTAGAGTTTTCCGTGGCAAGCCTGTTTCACGTAGGCAGATTGGAAGGGTTCGAACGTGCATTGAAGCGTGGGGGGTGCCCCCGCGCGCATTCTAAACATCAATGACGACAATTCATGTACACCCAACAGCAAAATATGATGGTGACATGTTGTCTCTCTGCGGGAATGGTCATCCGTGTATATATACCACGAACTTTTGACACCATTCCACATTCTCTTGGTGATCTACGATTTACTGGAGCAGTGCTAGTCGTGACTGAGGGTAACTCTGACGGTCTCTCAAAACCGTTGCGTGCGTCCTTCTCGTCGACATATGCAATTTGAACAGTTCTCACTTATATCTCCCCATGGCCAGAGCATAACCACTTCCGATGCACGAACCATCCAGCACAGCGACAACCGGCGTCTTGCTTGTGTCCAGAGCAGTCACGACGTTGCACAGAGCCTCCAAAGAAGTCTTCACCTTGAGAAATAGGAAGCGAGGCTACCATCAGATCAGATCAACGGGGTTTCATTCGAAGCAAAGACAAATCTCGGCCTTCCTGTCGACATTGGAGTGCCATGATGGAGTGTAATACGCTTTCTTCGTGGCGCTTGCGTCACAGAAGCACCAAGCACCAATACCACGGTTTGCGTTTCCGCCGGGTTCTTGTCTGTTTGATAGAAATTCTCTTCCAGACCGGAAAGGGACAAGATCTGTAAGATCCTGCCAAAGTGGCAAGAGGCAACACCAACTGACCGGTGGCAGCCTAAGACTCTACTCCGTCATGGCCTTCTCTGATATTGAAACAAATATTGGTGACAAAATCGACTACATCATGCATGATAACCTTTTGCTGGTGACCTCCGCGCAGATCAGCTAGGTTCAAACCGCTGCAAAAATCTCCACCGTCTCCGTTTAACGCTACCACCTGCAAAAAGTCGATCGCAACGATCACGAGCGTCGAATCAGCCGTTAGGGAGCAGGCGGTGACGTTGCATATCATAAAAAGAATTAGTAGTCTTGCCGCCCCAAGCAACATCGTGGTATGATAGACATTACAACCGTATCTTACTCCCGTTCGCAAAATGTTTTGGCTGTTTTATTGGGCCTGGTTGATGCGTGGTTTAATGTAACACTCACTCTTCTCTGTAAACGCGGACCCTTGATAATTATCATCTACCACGATGTTATGCGCAACAATATCAAATTAAACGTTTTAAAACTCAGATTCCATTTCTCTACCAGAGCCAATATCACAACATTATCTACCTCTTAGTCCAACAGGGCAGTACACGACGCGAGCGCTGCGGCAAAGGTCGACTTGCTGCTCACGTGGTTGACTTCACTTCACATGGCATACAGCAGTAGTGCCGCACGGCGAAAGTTGGGCGAACTAGATGCTGTGATAAGTTCACCGCTGCGTGGTGGCAGGTAGCGTGCGAGGTGGACTCACGTTGACCATGAAGTTTTCGTCCCACCACTCCAAGTGCTGACGCACTTCGATCAAAGACTGCCGGTCAAAGGTCGGCACTCCCTGCCAGCCCAAACGACCGAAGGCAAGACGGAACCCACAACACGGTGCTGGTGAGGGAAGTGACTGATACACATAGCGCGGCTAGACTGAATAGCTTCTTCGTGGAACGGAAGAGCGACAGTTCGATTCAAGTACGGTATTCTAGCGAAGTGGACTAAAGTGAGCATATGATGCCATATTCTCGAGCGCTCTGCAGCAGACGACCAAATAACTCCCGCGTGCTGACCAAACGCAGCAAGTTTATGAACTACATGCAACAATGCAGCTATTAGCTGATATTGTCCTGTGCATGTCACTGCGTTGCCTTCCGCTCGAGGAGGCATGGCAAACATGTGCGCAATACTTCGCATGTACGAGCTCACATTGACCTTTTTCAGCTGTAGAGCACGAAAGCCTCCGTTCATGTCGACCACGACCTGTCCGTCGGCGCCATGTCGCTGAAAAGAGGGAGCAGGGGGTACCAGCGCGAGAGACGTTCACAAACTCCCCACAGCAGACAACACACGAAGACATGAAATTCTGCTGTTGGATACCAAAACCTTCACCACGATATCACCACGGGGTTCGCCAGGACATTCATATTGCCAGCTTGCCCCCAGCAGCTCGATCAAGATGCACAGTGCACGCCCGTTCATGTCAGGCGATCAGAGTACCGAGCGAGCGAGTTATCGCAAGGGCTTGATTCGAGGCTCACCGTTCCTACTGAAGGGGTCAACACAGCACTCAAGAGCCTTCGTTGCACATGCCCATTCCACGGTCGGGGACGTAAACTAGACAGCATGGCAGCGTTCTATCCTTCGTCTCCAGGCTCGCCCGATCACGCTCTTTATTCGCCCAGCAGTGCACCTGCCTTCACACTTCATGCTCCCTCACACCTTCACACCGCAGCCACAGCCGCTCCCAGCCCGAACCATATCGCGAACCAAACATATTCCCCACTATCAGTAAAACTCCCTAAGGGGCGCCGCAGATTACAGTAGTCGGCGCCTCGTCTACAGCTAATATATATATGTATGTTGTAGGCTCGCCACAGGTGATGCGGTATGGTACCCCTCCACCCGCCCATATTTTTTGGGAACGGGGTGTGCATATTTTTGTAATTAGAATCGACCGCGCTACAACCGGCTGACCGATGAAAAGACGTCAGTCTTAGTGCGGTTGAGAACACCGAACACTTCTATCTGCCATGAACTGGGACCCCGTGAGGGGGCAGCGTGGGGGAGGCTAAACTATCCTTCGGATCAAAGCCAGAAACAGCAGCAACAGTAGAAAACTACACGCGTTTACCAAGGCTACAGTACTACTACCTTGGTACGCGACTTCATTTACAGATGGCGCCTGCACTTAAGCACCTCTAGTTTCCGCCGAGGCTGGGGTTCTTATTTTGCTGATCATCCTCTTGTAGGCTGCAAATGGCCACTATATAGATTTTAGTGTAGGGTTCTTAACCGAGCTCACAGATTATGCTCAAGTTATTCTTAGCTTCTGATTTTTTGCGAGTCTCGATTTCTTAACTGCTAAGTTGTTAAGTGCGGGCGCTATCTGTAGGAGTACTTTCACCATTATCCTCCTTGTTTTCGCTACCATCATTCTGATCCTCATGTTGACAAGAATCTCTGGGCACCTCTTCCCTAGCCCTACATTTTTTGTTCTGGGGAAGGTCATCTGGCTCAAACCCTTTGCTCTCTTCCACTCCTCCATGTTCCTCTTCCATCGTCGTCTTCGTCCTCCTTTCTTCCCTTTCCCTTTCCTTCGTCTCNTCTCTGGGCACCTCTTCCCTAGCCCTACATTTTTTGTTCTGGGGAAGGTCATCTGGCTCAAACCCTTTGCTCTCTTCCACTCCTCCATGTTCCTCTTCCATCGTCGTCTTCGTCCTCCTTTCTTCCCTTTCCCTTTCCTTCGTCTCCGTCACTCCCAAAAGAATTACCCTCACTACTACCATCGTTGTCGCAGAGATCCCAACCGATTGGCCCTGGTGGAAGTTGGTCGATCAGTAGCCCATGACGTTTGAACACATCGCGAGTTCGCATCGACAGAAAACGAGCTAGCTCGAAGGAAAATCGTCTCCGAATCCCGTATGAAAAGTTTTCAGGCGGACTAACGCTCTTTCGTCGTCAAAATTCCCCCGGCAAAAAGCTTCGTGCGCCAAGTGGTTGGCGATAGCAACGATGAGTCGATTGGTGCCTTTGCCAAGACCACCATTCGTTGAAAAAGCAGCAGTAAGGAGGGTAGATCTAGACGGGTTGAAAGTTCCCGCAGTGATTTGTCTTACTTGCGGCTCGATCTTCGAGAGCGGATCCTGGCTTTTGCATCGACTTGTCGATCCTTCGACCTGCGGATGGGTTGACGATTGTCACGTCTATAAGAATGGACTTGGTGCAGAGTTTCTCTTCCTTCTCTCCTGCGTGCAATCCTGGGGGGATCATCAAATCCATCTTGTATAGCCCCTTTCCCCTACCAGTGCCTGTGGTGAAAGGGGAAGAATCATGAACGGCGATGGGCATATGGCACTCACGCAGTGTCTTGAGGACTACTAGAACCATCCTGTTATTGAGGAAGGCTGAGGAGCCGGTCTTGGTGCAGACGAGGGAGTGGGCTCGGCTCAAGCGGTCCTTGCATGGTAACAATCCACCTGCACCACAAAGTTTGCCGTGTCGCAGTCTGCTGGATCGTGACTCCTCAGTACACGATCGATTGGTGTGTGAATGTCATACAGCGCATGCACTCAACGCTCTTTCTGATCTCCAGTGTACCTTACAGCAACGTCATTGCAGTTGTGTTTCAAGTCGCACGTTTCTAAAGTGTTGCCGCCTTCAATAATATTTCTCGTTTCACAATCAGGACATGGCCAAAATGAAGCCATCGTCAGCAGGAGCTCTTGTGAGTCTTGAAGTGATGTGTACATGGCGCATCCTTGCAGAACGAATACATACATGCACCTCAACATGTTGTCCTTGTTGATGTTTTCTGCAAGTCCTACTCTCCATATTATGTCAGCTGTTTTCATTTGGGAACAAACCAAACATACATACGAACTTGACCATAATGTACACCTCTGTGCAAATATGCTGCTACTTCTGCTTGCATTCCAGGACTGTTGCGAGGCCACCAGCCAGAACAGGTGGCGTGAACGACAAGAGACAGCTGCGCAGCACAAAAGCTACGCCCCAGGCAGCAACATCATGCCTCACGCCAAGGAAGCTTAATTCAATCGGTCGGTCCCATGGATGCTTCATGAGTCCAGCTCGAAGAAGAGCGGTCAATTTCTACTGCTGATGCACAGTGAAGGGTCCAACTCTTGCTGACGAAAAATGCATCCAACGCAAACCCAATCAACACCACCTCCAATCAAAACCATCAGTGCGGAGGTATCCTGTACCCTGCAGCTTGAAAATCTACATTCTTCTTACTGGTGGAGAGTCGCACTACCAAATTGCGACAGCAAAGACCATGCGCCACGGTAGAAACAACATCCAAGCACGGTCGGAGCCTGCATCATGTTGATCGCTTTCCCTCGCCTTTTTTCGAAGATCCTTTTAACAAGCAAGAGGGGTGGGGACGAGAAAGTCCGCAAGCAAGAAAACAGAACCGCGGTGTTGACAGCGGAACGAAGGGTGTTTAGAAGGCGTTGAATTGGATCATTTGCCTCTTGGCCGAATGTGCGGCCAGCACAACATGTAGAGAGTATCACTGTGGGCAAGAACATAGCCCAAATCTGAGGGCACTATCGCACGAGTGCAACCCAGACATTGTGACGCCGGAGTGTAGCAGCAGCGCATGTCTTCCTTACTCTCACTGTTCGGTTTGTCTTGATCTGGGCTCTCAGCCCTTAGCACGACAGCAGAGCTTGGGGCAACCCGCAATATCTTCCATTAAAGTTTCAGCGAACAAGTCGTACACCTGGTGCGTCACCCAATCTAGCCAGACGTTCACGGTGTTTGAATTCTGCTGCATCGACTACATACCTCGTTTTGATCCCTCGTCTAGTTCACGTTTTTGTCGTCGCCATTCTCGCTTGTGGTCCATGATAACGCCAGGAATCTCCTTCTCCGCCATTTTGACCATGTCCGGGACTGTAGTCTGCGGGTAGTACTGGGAAGACGTGGAGATTACACGCGGGATATCAGCAGGACAAAAAAATGCGCGTTTGCGGTTACCAAACATGCTAGGTGACAAGGCGGTAGAAGAATTACCGGTGGATGCGGAGGATACGAGAGCAAACCGAACATGACCCAAGGTTTGACTTGCGTGGATAATCAGGAGCCAATATGGCAGCAAAAGTAGAGGCAAAATCCGTTGATGTCAACAAGGATAGGAAACGATTTCTAAACCTCTGGGACAAGAAGTGAACCAAGCGCACCAAGGGACTTTAAGGTAGCTGATATGGGGCTGCTCTCGCTCCTTTCTGATTCGGTTCAGAAGCCCAGCGCACTTTGATGGTAACCCACCGCTTTCAGTTGGCTGAGATTGCTCTGATCGGAGACGAATAGGAATGTTACCTAAAATTTTAGACAACAGAAGAGTTTCCCGCATTTCTTTTGTCATGAGTTGGCATTTCAGTTGCCAAACGCGCTGCCCTGTAGTGCGACCGCTCTTGCACACACGCGCACACGAAATCATCAAATTTCAAGTTGGGGTCGTGGCGCTCAATACAGGATGAATTAGCAATTAATCCATGGAGTTAGCGGAAGCACTGCTGTCATAATACCAAGGTTTCTACGGTTCCCCGAGCAGCACACAGCGATATCTCCCCTGTGGGTATGCATTACAGGCTCCACAGCAGTTGGTGGTCAATCTGCTAACCCTAACCCAAAGTACACTGGGGAGGTGTAGAAGGAAGATATGGTTTGAGTATTGGGGTGTTAACATTCGCAAGCTTGTGGGCATCGGAAGAAGCCGTGTTCGATGCCAGCTTTGAATCTCTCAAACAGCGGTAATATGTGTACCATGAGGTAAACGTCCAAATGTCAAGTTGCGTATGACAGCAGTGCACCCATGGTCGCAGCAGTCATAGACTCAATCAAGTGTACACGCCTCCGCGTTCAAGACCAGACGTCAAAACATGTTGACCATGAGGGCTTGCCCTTCACTCAGCGTGGATTTTACGAAGTCGGGGACGGCAAATGCTACTCTGTTACGCATACATGTACTGCTGTACGACTGAAATGGGTTCCGCAGTGGGTTGGCACGTTGGTACGTTGGTACACACCTCTGCTATCTTCTGGCCAATGATGTTCTTGCGCAAAACCTTGTTGCCAGTACGGACATTGCTGTGGGGAAGGTTGCCGAATATTCGCCGGGCGGCTTCCGCCACATTCTTGTTCATGGCTAGCCCCTCCTCTGTCAGCGTTGCAGTGGTAGGTGTGCTCTTTGGCACTCTGCAATCTCTCGAGCACGGCGCTGGCTGCTGCACAGTCCTGTGTAGAGATTCCGGAGTCTTGAGTCGGGGGCCCGGCAGCTGCCTCGTCTAATGTACATACAGAGTGGTAGGTAGGTTTTTCTGCATACAACGTATTCCGCGCCTCATCCCGCAGCCAATGCGCTGCACGCAACAAAGCATACCACACGCGTTGTCGCCCGTACTTCATGCTGCTGCGTGGTGTTCACGGACGGTTGTGCAAACCTCTAGCACATGCCCGAGCTTTGGGGGTGGTTCGGCTAGGCCCGAACTTGGAAGCATGTGCGTTTGGCACGGACACAAGGCAGCAAGAACCCAAGAGGCGTACGGTGGTAGCAGAGGCCGGGCATCTCATGAAGTTGTACTCCCAGTTGTCCAAGCACCGTTTGAGCGCGTTGGTTATGTCGACAACGTCTGCCGGTTACCTGGCGGCTGGAGGACCGGTCGATGCCCTTGCGCTCACGAGTGCTTGTGTCGGCACGATGCTCGCGTCGAGCTCGGCTAACACGTTTAACCAAGTTATCGAGACTGCGAATGATGCCCGAATGCATCGGACACGGGCCCGTCCGCTCCCTTCCGGGAGGATTTCGCGCCAGCACGCGCTAGGGTGGGGAGTAGCGTCAGGTACTGCTGGTATCTCTGTTCTCGCGGCGGGCTCCAACCCACTTACGGCTACCCTTGGTGCAGCCAACCTGCTCTTGTATGTCGGGCCGTACACGCTGTCGAAGACGAGGTCGGAGATCAACACATGGGTAGGCTCGGTTGTTGGCGCCGTGCCACCTTTGATGGGGTGGGCAGCCGCCACAGGCGAATTGGTCGCCGTGGAGCCGCTGTTGTTGGCCACATACCTTTTCATGTGGCAATTTCCGCACTTCTTTTCTCTTGCCTGGCTTCACCGTGAGGACTACGCCAGAGGGGGCTTCGCGATGGTGAGAGGTGCATGCACACACTGTTTTGACCGATGGGCAAATGCCGTCGATGCTGCTGTATCAGTGCGCCTCCCGTGTGTCCGTGTGTTTCTCTGTAAATAGAAGCGGCGGGCTGTGAGCATAACGTTGGCTTCGTACGGCATTTTTGGAGTGCTTGTTGTTTATGTCTAAAAAGCATTCCTTCCTTTTCGTAGAGGCCCTTTCTTGGTGCCGCCCGCCCCCCTACTGACGTCACGTCGCGGTAGACAGGAAACATGCGGTTGAAATACCAACGCACTTGCCGTCGATATTCGTACTAATAGTGCCACGCTTTTTCGGATCATATCGTTTACATCATTTTCACTTGTGAGGTTGCGGAGGTCTTTTGCAAATGCGGTGTTCATGTGTGTCATCGTGAACGTGTTTGTCAGCAATATGGTGCCACCCGCCCGGCGTCACTTGAAAGAACAGGTCCTAGTTAGTCGGCCAATGTTTATCGTCATGTGTATACACTGCTGTCGTGCAGCAACAGAGGCGACGAAGATTACATACGTGTACAAGCACCACTGTCGTGTGTGGTTTGTGTGCTCAACTCGCACGGGTCGTTCTCACCATTCCTACGGGGAAACCTGCTTTACGCTCGATTTGCGCTCTCGCCAGGTCCCATGCGCCGATCCAACAGGGAGTAGAACAGCGAGCCTCGTTACACGGTACTCCTGGTACCTCGTGCCCATTCCGTTAGCAGCAGCCGCTCTGGATGCTACGAGCTGGATGTTCGCGGTAGAGGGCACAGCTTTCAATGCGTACCTCCTCTACCACGCTTACCGATTTGATAAGGACAAATCCAATGCAAACGCCAGAGGAGTGTTCAAGGCGTCGCTGTGGCATCTACCAGCTGTCCTGGCATTGTTCGTGTTTCACTCGCGTCGGTGGGAGCTGGAGGACAAAGCGGAGGACGAGCAGCTATCCACACTCATCCCAAGAATAAGGGCGCGCCTCACGAAACTATGCCTGCACGAAATCGTGCAAAAGGATGAGGCAGCGTCATTTTGCCCAGTGGTAGTCGTAGAAGCAGCCGGGACGGAGGCTCAGAACATCGCGACGGCGGCAGCTCACAAGGAGGAGAGTCTGCTGGCACGGAGTGATACAGGTAGTTAGGTAGGAAGCCCAGGCATATCAAGGATAGAACGCTTTCGCGATTGTGATGTTGCTTTCCCCCAATAGCGAGCAGTTAGGACCCCGAAATCACTACACGCTTCCGGGGTAGCTGCTGTAGCACGACGTGTTGGAACCACGTGTGTTCAACATCTACTCAGCGCACCGGCATAAAAACGCGTAGCTTCATAGCCAACAACGGATGCCGCGCACGCTGTGCGTAAAATACTCCCATCTACACCGTACGCCGCACAGCAGTGAACGGCCGCGCGCAATTAGCCGTGATTTTGGTTGATGAGCCCGTCCACCTCATTTCCTATAAAGAACGCCAGCGCAGCGCACGATCCTCCTAGGACGAGCATTTCTGTGCCGGAGATGCACCAGTGACGGGTGCCGAATTGACTCTTGACATGCGTCGGAACAGCGGGGGTCGCAGGATGTTTGGTCATGGTTAGTGAAGCGTTTGTGCGTACTCAAAATTCGATGGCATGGTCGTCGTGAGTGAAAGGGACGGCTGAACACTTAGGAGCAAGTGAAGGCAAGCACCGCAGAATGAAGGCGGAGAAAATAGAAAACTTTTGAGAGATGTTCCTCCTGTGACTTCCGGTATTGAGTTGGTTTCATGCACGCGCTGCGTGATGCCCGGCTGCAACGCGATTTGTGTCTCCCACCGATTGCCGCACAAGATCGAATGGTCACCGTGTATGCGAATACGACCAAACACGCAACACGACTCTCTTCTGTTGAGTTTCCTCTTAGACCTGATCGGGATCGGGCGATCCCTAGCAAAACACATGTGTTGCTGTCCCGTGTAGACTTGCGTCTTCGATCCGTCAGCCGGGTTAGGGAAATCGGGCAGGTACAAGAACGAGGCAGATGTGCAACACGGACAAGTTTTGGCATGGCGGACAAGCACAAACGAGGAACCACCGAGATCGTCCTGGCTGTAGCCCGTACCTTGATTGCGCCCATGCCGAACAAGCTGGCCGCAGTCACCAAGCACGCTACGAAAAACAAAATCGCTGATGACGAATCGGGCTTGATCAACGGTACGATGACATACCTGCGAACATTGCAATCAAGTAAAATGTAATCAACAGAAATAGAAGGTGGAACGAGAATTGGCAACTTGCCGACACAGTGATCTAACGTCGAACATGGCACCCAACCAGTCTCTTGATGTCTTCCACTCCTGCAATAACCAACGCAAGGCAAGTATGCTCAAAACATCACTTCCCAGATTATTCGCCGGTACATGCACACTGCTGGAATCGGCCCACAAATTGGGGCCAGTCATTCAGGTCAAACGGTGTTACTTTGCCCGGCACGAACTCACCCCAGAAGAGGCATGGCACCGAAAAACGCGAAGGAAAGGAACATGACAAAGCCCTCCTTGATTGTGTCGTCATCGTCACCGGTCGGTACCTGTAACGTGCGAGCGAGCGACGTTGGTCGGTCGGGAAGAAAATCCAAAGCGGTGGTATCCTCAGCCCCGTGCTCATACTCACGGTAGATCTAAAACCAATCCCATGTATCGCGTTCTCAAGCGGAGCAGTTGTCTAAGAAGGATATATAAACGGCTAGGATTGCTTACGAGACTGTGCCCAACATCACACTCCGACGACATCATGCTCGGCACAAACCTGTAGACCAAGTTCCTCGTTCATCATGAGATTGACAAAAAAGTCATCGTACTTGGCCATTTTCACGATCACGTCCTCCGCATCTTGTCGGCTCATCCCTCGTTCCTGGTATTTGCAATGTTTCATTTATTGTGGTCATTAGAACACATAGCGCCACAGTACCCTGTCTAGGAACGGGACGGGTTCTGCCAGTCAGTGTGCCCATTACGCCATCTAGGTTTAGCCTAGCGTTCCAATCACCAGCTCTGACGATCAAGGCCAGAATCTGAGCGCTCCGCAAGAACATGGTGACAACGAAGAGGTTGTTGGGCATTACGAGCAGATACCTCGCTATGTAGGGCGCCGCACAGCGCAACTATCGACTGCCTGCGGACGATGCTTCGAGATGCTGTGGACACACGTTCACCGTTTGTACATGATACCCCGCTCACAACACACCTCGAATATCTCGACCATCTCCAATATTTCTCCTTCCCGGTGATTCTTGAGCTCCCATTCTTCCCGTTTCTTTTCTGCCATGACGTACTCATTGTGGGCCTGCGACAGTCAAAACGCGGAAATGATCGGCATCGTCCTCAAGAGAACCATGGATTGTTGCCGAGAGGGAACGCAACGAATAGACTTCCAGGCGAACGGGGCAAGCTCTCCTCGCGATTTACACCAAAAATGAATTGAGTACACCAATATGGCAATCGCGAAAACCACAGGCGTTTACACAAAAAGGCACTTTTCTCGTTGCACTCCTATCTATGTAGTCTCACCTTGCTGCTGAGGTACTCGCCAACACCCATGCTCAGTGCATCTGCGAATATGTTGCTGAATCCTAGCACCAGAACCACAGCTACCGGAAGATGTCCTCCTGTCAAAAACCATTATTTCGCAACCAACACGTCTGTTGAGAAGCGGCGGTTCAGCTCTCACACACAAGTACACCACCGCCATGTTCCCCGACAGCGATTTCTGGGGTGGACTAGTGACAGCGGCCTGCAAAGGCTACACTGGCATCTTCAACTCAAGAGCAGTCTGAAGACCGTTGCCGAGGCGACATAGTGGTGTACTTCTTAACGAAACTGAAGTGGTCAACGACTCTACTGAGGAACAAATTGAAAGAGCCGCAAACCGTACATCACCCGTGAACCCACACCGCGCTTGCATAATGCACAATTTAACACCATTCACACCGCTGGCGCTCCAACTACAGACTCCGGCAACGTTTTACGACCGAGGGTGTCACAAACTTAATGATAGTGCTCATTCTGACGTTCGAGACAAACCTGCCGCGCCCGCGACGATAGCGAAGCTTGTCAAGATGCCATCGAGACCGCCAAACACCATAGCCTTGAGATAGTCTCCCTTTTCACTGTGCGCTTCATCGTGGGGCTGGCCTGCGCGGGCATCGTGAAGGAGCCTGCCAGGAACACCAAGTTACAGTCGCTCGTGGGGTGTGTGTTCATGTGTTCATCGACTGCTGTGTTCGTCAACTCTGTGCGTACCATGCTTTGGTGTGGAAGAGGGATTCAAACACGCGCGTTTGTTTCAACCAGGGTGTTGGTGCCCGTCTGGAATGTTAAGCGACAGCACTTGCACTTCAAGCGAACCAAGACACCAGGTTTTGCTGTCAAATGTTTGAGTGCTAACGTAGACGTCAGGATATGGAGATGCAGCAAGCACAGAAACACGTACCGAAAGAGGACGTCATCATGATCTATTACACTCAACGTGAGAACCGCTGTACATCGTGAATCTCCATATCCTGACCACCACACCACGTGCGGTTCAAACGAGCTGCTACAGCAGTGACGTCATAGATTCAGCAGTAGGGCACGATGTGTCTACGCAGTAGTGAAAAGTGAAGGCATGTGTTGACGCTGACACACCCAAGTATTTCGACGTTTCGACTCCATGCACGAAAAGGCCAGTATTGACTCTATACGGGTTTCCAAACAGCCCGCGGTCATGGTGAAAGCACAGGGCGTGATGGCGGGTGTTTTGGCGATGCGCGCTAAAGCGAATAAACGCCCGATGTATGTCATCACAGTTCCTTTAAACTGTCGTGAAACAGCAAAAAGAGCGATGTGCGTTGAATAGACCACACGGGGGGACATGCATCGTTGTTATACAAGCAGCCTGTCTACAGCAGTCCCTGCGCTACAACTTACAGGTGTTGCCCGCTGTAAACACACATGTCAACGAACGTTGATGTCGCGCATCGGACATCCCTTATTTAGCTCGGGCATGTTGGACAAGGATAAAGCCAAACATAGTTGCATACATATGGGGTCATATCGCTGTCACACATGCGGTCTCGCCATGTACATACATATACAGGGGAGGAGAGAGGAGAGAGCGGTGGGACGGGAGACACGTGCCTAACTTGTACCTGGATGCCTGTTGGTCTCCTGCCATAAAAGCGTTCCTCACGTCCTTCCCATAGTCAGCTCCGACACCCTCCGGGTCCAGGTGCGATTTTTCGTTGGCTGATGCATTGCCAGTCATGATCTCGAGAGAGCAGATCGAGCAAGAGAAGAGAGTGAGCTCTCCACGGTATGTTCGGTCGTGTTGCGGGGAGGGGGCTGGTTGCCTGCTGCGGGGCTTCGCAAAGTATATTTTGGTGAGTGCGCGTAGATTCTACTTGGCCCCCATAGCGTCAGCCCAAAGACAGCCCCATGTCCTGTGTCATCCTTCCGTAACAGTAGCCTCTGACTGCCAGCTGCTGCAAGCTGTCAAACTTCTCTGCTTGGAGAATATGACGGTGCATTTACCCGACAACCATTGGGGAACACGATCGATCAGCTGCTATGAAAAAGTGGAGCAAATAGGAGAGGGAACATACGGCCAGGTGAGAAAAGAAAGAAATGTTGACCTTTCCTTGATTTTCCGTCCTCGCGTCTGCATTGCAACCAGGTTGTCTTTCTCTAATCCCCACTCGATTTCCGCACATCGGTGCTCGCAGGTGTATAAGGCTAAGAACAAGGTGACGAAAGACATCGTGGCTCTCAAGAAAATTCGAGTACATAGCGAAAATTTCGGGGTGAGGTTTGCATTTTTTGTATGCGAAGTACAGAGTACTCGATTACCTGAAGGAGCCGTATGTTGCAGATGATACAGACAACGTTACCTGTGCCGTACAATCGTAATTGATCTATCTCACTAATAGAGCGGCATTGACATGAATCGGTGCACACCACGTGACCCCGGCTGGCAAGTCAAACATAGAAAGATGTGTAGACTAGCGCTAGAATAGATAGGACGAAAACACAAACACAAGACAGCAGCCTTGCGCGACGAAATCACTCATCATGCGCATCCTCCAAAATGTTTTACCAGGTAGTACAGCAGCAAGTGAAGTAAATCTTCAAATACTAAAACCTGAAAGACTACCGGCAGCTCTCAGGAGACAGCAGTAAAGCTTCAGCAGAAATATTAGACTGGAAGCTTATTCCATACTCCTCTATCGACATCGAGCTTCACTGCTCGGTTCTTGTTTTTGTGACAAATGCAAAGAAGGAAACACATTCTATGCTACGTGCGGGTGAGCAACAGTCATTTTGGCCATGTTTAGAGCTGCCTCCCTCAACGCGTTCTTGTGACGACAACCTCAGCCTCTCTCACTAGTAGCTACAGCTGTGTCAGCGGTGATCCAGAAGGCTTCTTGCACTGAATGTCATCACACGAACGTTTTGTATCCGTTCTGTATTTACTTACTTCTTGTTTTTGGTGCAAGGAAGCATGCTGCATTTTCTGCCTACACTTCAGGTGCGGTGCACCTTTCAACTATGCAGTACGACATGTGCCGTGGTGCCACAGCAACATGGGTGCCCTCGTTTTCATACTTTCACTTTTGTACACGATCAAGAACGGACAACAAACAATCGTGTTCGGCGCCTCCTTTACGCGACATGCATGGGTGGTATCCTTCGTGTTGATTTTATCTCAAGTTGCTCGCGTCCGTTTCCCCGCCCTTTCTTCGCCCCGTGATTTCCAGCTTCCAGTGACAGCGATTCGAGAGATGAAGATATTGAACGAACTCTCTCATCCCAGCATGGTGCGCCTGCTAGAAATCGTCACGTCTGTGGGCGAGGTATGTCACGTTGGGGTCTGCAGGCGTTAAAGACGAGCGTCAATTTCTGTGAAAGCGATGTCGGATTGCCGACACATTGCGCCCTGAGTAGAAGCAGCTTGTGGAGGACTGAATCTCGGAAGAGGGCGA